TTTCTAGACTTCTGACCAGTTTGTGCCTCCACCAGTACCCAGCCAGACTTCCACCTACACCACCAGTAATTTGAGGGCACAACAGTCTGGCACAGAGTGGGTTCTCAGAAATGTTTATTAAATGAAGATTGACTTAGCCCCCCCCTTTCACTATCCCTGGTTCCTGTGCTATTATTGTCTTCTTGGGTTCCTCTAGGCCTCTCTGGCCTAGGAAAGGGTTTTACTTGATCTAGAGATGCTGCCCCTCTGGGGCTCTGGGAGGGCCTCAGGGTACATGGTCACTGACCCTCAAGTAGGACCGAGGGCCAGTTCCAGACTTCCCTAACACCCCTAGCTTTATGTCCTGGGCTCTGAGGCATTCAGGACCATCTAGGATCCTGCACAGCTTTGCAAACAGTTTTGAAAATGCTCTGGGCAAAATGTGGCAGCTTCCAGCAATGGCATTTCAGGGTCCTCTCAAACCTGAAAGAGAACTTCCAGGACCTGGTTGTCTGTGTCCTTCCACCCTCAGTGACCTGGCCCCCCCTTCTTTTTTGCCCTCACTCAGCATCAGGCCCTCAGCTGCGTCCTGGGCCCTAAGAAATGTCCTTAAACAGGTAGAGACCCCCTGAAGTGCTTTGAACTCTGTTCTGAGCATAAGGGGCATTAAGACACCCATTTTCCTCCCTCCAGTCCTCACCTCTGATACTTGCTTAGACTCCACAAGTGTTAATACCCATGGGCTGGGGGCACTGGAGGGAGCAGTGTCTACCCACCATGAGCCAGCTCAGAAAGTGTCCTGTCTCTGCCAGAGCTCCAAGCCCAGAGACAGTTCCTGTCCTTGGCGGGCAGTAGGAGAAAGAGCACTTCCAAGAATCCTTGAACCTGGAGGCCCTATATTCCCGCCCACGTTTTATTAAGGACCATCAAACCAGCCTTGAGAGTTAGAACCCACCTAAAGCCCTCAGGTATGGTTGGAAAACAGAGAGGTGGCGACGCGGGTGCCGGTCTCCCAGCAATACTTCAACCCATCCCGCCCCAGACTCCCGGGTCCTTGGCACTTAGAATGCCCCTTGCAGCTCTGACCTTGTGCCGGAATTCCCGGGCCACTTTCCTGTCCATAGCTGGGTCAGTTCTAGCTGAGTCCCTTGCGAGACCAGCTCCTCTGGGGCGAGCGGCTGCGGGAAGTTGGCAGGAACCAGGACAGCGCAGGCGGAGCGTCCCCGGCCTGGGGGTGTGGCCAGGGCTGCGGGGGCGTGGCTTCGGGGGCTTGTGCGGTGGGGCGGGGCCAAGAGAGCTGCTCCTGGTCGCTCCGCCCTCTGAGGACCTTGGAGGAAAAGGGCTCCAGTGTGCGCGAGGGTGGTGGGAATCAAGGCTGGAGCTCCTACTAAGATAGCTTCCGAGTACACGAAGTTGCAGGAAAGAGTCGAAAAGCTGTGAAGAAGCAGCTGAAGGTAGAAATCTAGAGACTCTTCTAGTTGGTGGTGGTTGTTGTTGTTATGTGCCATCGAGTCGTTTGTGACTCATAGCGACCCTATGTACAAGGGCCCTAAATGCCATTATATCCTGTGCCAACCTAGCCATCTCAAACGCACTTATTCCCACCGCTCCAGTCACAGAATCGATCCATCTCATCGAAGGTCTTCCTCTCCTTCGCCGCCCCTCCACTCTGGTTGTTAAAAAAAAGAAAGACTCGCTGCCCTTGAGTTGATTCCAATTCATAGTGACCTTCCATTGAGTTTGGGAGACCATAAATTTATTGCTCATCTCTCTCCTGCGGAGCCTCTAGTAGATTTAAGGCCCGTGATTTTGGGGTAAAGAGACTAACTCAGTAGAGACTAACAATGCCACCAGAGCTCTCTTTTTTGGTAGTTTAGGGATGGAAAAATCTGGTCACCTTTCTCCTGGCGCATAAACAGAGGCCCATCTCCTGGGGTTGTCACCTATCGCTGGTCATCGCATTCTATAATATCCTATGCTGTCCAGTTGATTCAGATTCACAATGACCCCACGTCTTACTCTCTGTAGGGTTTTCTTGGCTGAAATTTTAATAGAAGCATATTGCCAGGCCTTTCTTCCACAGTGCCATTGGATGGGTCCCAACGCCAACTATTAGTAGTTGTTGTGTGTCGTTGAGTCAGAATTGGCCAATAGCTGACCCTTCGGCCGGTTTTCAGAGACTATAAATCACACTGGAGGAGATTGCCCATTCTTCTGTTCGAACCGTGAGCCTTTGGGATTGCAACACGGCTTCTTGCCACTAGGCCACTAGACCTCCAGTTAGTGGTAGTCCAGCGCAGTCATTTGCACCACTCAAGAGCCTAAACATCGGCTCCTCAGTGAGCCTTTCCAGATGGGAAGAAATCCTCAATCTGTGAACTCTTTGAGGATAGGACAGGAATGGGTTTTATTATAGCCCGATGGAAGCTCAATAAACTATGGATGAACTTGTGGCCAGGAGCAGTGAGTGACTGTGCCTGCCTCATCTTATGCTTTAAGACTCCACTCTGAAAATAAGAACAGCCACACACATACACACATAAACAAACTTGGCCTGGCAGTGACATTCTGGTTTATGGCTGACATTTAATCAGGGCCTAGGCTCCATATGTTTATTGATTTAATTAAACTAAAGTTTAATGAACTCCTAAGTCTAGTGTTGGGGTGCAGAAACAGCAATGGGGGAAGTCTGGAGAAGGATGAGAGAAAGCAGGAACCAGAAGAGGTGATAAGCCAGTGTGAGTGGGAGAAGGGGAAGTTTACTTATACAGTTTGTCCTTGGAGTTAACCTAAGATGGGATCCTGACCTATTTGTACCATGTCAGGGGACAGGAAACAAAGAGAGGTAAAGCAATTCAAACCAGGTGGCCTCATGCAATTGTAACTTCAGGGCCACTCTGTCACCTATCCTCTGAATCCCATCTTTTGATAACTAAAATTTTTCGAGCAGATTATTTTTATGCAGACTAAATTATTATCTGATTTAAAATGCAAATTCCTCTTTGGAAAGAATCCTGAAATATTATTTGTAGTATTTCCTTACTTTAACTACTTAGTCTCGTATTGTCGTTGACTCATAGCTGACCCTCCAAGTGGGTTCTCAGAGGCTGTAAATTATACTGGAAGAGGTTTCCCATCTTCATCCTAAGAAGCAGCTGATGGATTTGAACTGACAATACAGAGATGCTGCTTCTGGCTTTGCAGCACGATTCCCTATGTGTTAAGCCACCAGATCTTCCTAGGTTAAACAGTGAAGTAGGAAATAAAAAAGGACTTTAAGGGTTTCTTTAAAAGGTCAGAAAAGATGCTATGAAATAAATCTGTTTATTCTCCTCCGACGTACTTAATTGGTCTTCTGCATATCTGAGGTATGTCACATGGTGCTGTATTTCATAGCTAGAATTTAGGCAGAGTGGTAAATGTCCTTGGGAGGGGGCCACCCTAATCTTTTTCCATGATCCCTGCAACCATACACACCCTTCTTCCTTAACCTTCCCTTCTTTGTTCTGGGGATGGCACTGCACCTGGGTTCTCCTCTGCCTGCCTTTGCTCATTCCTTAACTAGTATCCTTAAGACTTCGTCTTCAGCGTTCTCTTCTCTGGTTTCTCATTCATGTCCATAATTTCAAATACCTTGTATGAGAGTAGCTGTAGCTTTATCTACTGTATTCCCAGACCAGTATGTGACACAGAGCATGTGCTCAACAAATTTGCTGAATGCATGCATGAATGTTATTGTTAGATTTCATCAAGTCAGCTATGATTCATACAAACCTAAGAACCAGAACTTTGCCCTGTCCTGTGCTGTTCTTGGATATGTCTGAGTCCATTGTTACAGTCACTATGTCAGCTCTTCTTGTTAGAAGTCTTCCTCTCTTTCTCTGACCCTCCACCTTTTGCAGCATGATGTTTTTTTCTGAGGACTGGTCCCCCCAACAACATATCCAAAGTATATGAGATGAAGTTCCACCATCCTTGCCTCTCCGGAGCACTCTGGTTGCCCTTCCATTAAGACAAATGTATTTGTCCTTTTGGTCGTCCATGGTAGATTCAGTATTCTTCACCAACACCACAATTCAAAGGCATCAATTTTCCTTCTTTCTTAATTATTACCCAAGTTTCAGATGCATAGGAAACAATTTATAATTGGATCAAGTGCACCTTAGTCTTTACACGGAACATCCTTGGTCTTTAGAACTTTGGATAGGTCCTTGAGTACATCCCAAATCTACTAGGAGGAGTGGATCACTCATCAAGCAAGGTAAGGGAGGGTGAGTTTACATAATAATCTGTAGCGAACAAGTTAATATCAAGTAAGCTTGGTCTCACTTGTGCTTACTTATTTTCTGTAGAGAATAAGCAGTATCTTGGGGCTTTGATTTAAGGGACTTTTAGAACCTAGGTTCCTGTGCCAGAGAACTCTGAGCAGTTTTGGGGGCTATGCTGACTACCTCCTCGCTCGTCTTTTTTTTTTAAATTTTTTTTATTGCCAACTCTCAGAACCAACTCCAAGCTGACCTTTCAGTGGTTTCCAGATGTTGTAAATCTCAGAGAGAGAGACTGCCTATCTTTCTCCACCTGAGCAGCTGGTGGATTGGCAGTACAACTCCTTACCAATAAGGCCTCCAGAACTCTACCCTCGCTTATCCGGAGGATTTAATACTGATTTATCTGAATCTAGCCAGTTCAGTGGTAGAATTTTTGCCTCCACGCCGGAGTCCCCGGTTCAGTTCCCAGCTCATGCAACCTATCGTCCAACGTATCAGCCTTCCCCCAAGAGAAACAGCTCAGTGGCTGAAAAGGCCAGAGGCTGGACCTTCCTCAGGTGCCTAAATTATGATAATGAGCTGGGCAGTCTTGGCACTTGATCGCGAGGAGGAGCCTAGCTTGGGAGGAGGGTCCCGCGGAGCTCCAGGGTTTGAGAGCTGGAGGGAGGGCCGCGGTGGCGGGGAGATGTGACCCTGCTTTCGTCGGAGAGGAACCTCGGACCAAGCCCGTGCTCCCAGGTCCCACGCGCCCCTATGAGGGCCCCGGCCACGCACGTCCCGGCGCCTGCGCTCTGCTCGCTCCTCGTGTGCCTCTGGCTGCCCCGGGCTGAGCCGGCGGCAGAGTCCCCGCGGGTGCAGCGCCTTGGTGAGAGCAGGGGTCTGGACGCTGGCGGCGAGGGATACATCTGGCCCAGCTGCGGAGAGATAGAGGAGAGACAGTTTCTGAGGAAGGGCAGGGAGATAGCTGGGAGGTGGGGGAAACGTGGGTAGAGGGGCACAGACTATTAGAGAAGTTGGCACTACCACTGGGAAAGGGTCTTGAGCTAGTCGATGTGAAAGAGTCTCCAGATACAGAAGTGGAGAGACAGCCCCAGTGAGGAAAAAGGAAGAAAGAGTAAGAGGGGTTGGAGAAGGGTGCCAGGGAGAGAAAATGGGGGTGGTGGTGGTGTCTGGTGATGCGGAAAGGTTCTTAGCCGATGTTTGGGGGAGAGGGGCTGCTGGGAGGCCCCAAAAAGGAGGCATACCTTGAGAGGAGAGTAACTACCTTCCCCAGCCTCAGCGCCCACTGCACCCGCAGCACCTCGGGGTAGTGCAGAGCTGCTGCCAGAGCCAGTCGAGGAGCCCAGGTGAGTGAGTAGGTTGTGGCTGCCCCACCCGCTGCTCCCGTCTTCACTGCTGGGGTGGGTGATATGGGCCTGGGGGTGCTGAATATAAAGAAGCACATCTTATCATAGCCACCCAGTCCATGCCAACCTTATTTCTTGTCTAGGGTCAACCACCAAGAGACTTCTCTTCCCTTCGAGGATGCTCCAACCGTGATGGGGAGCCAGGTAGGAGACTTCCTGAGCAGGGGTCTGGTTTCTGAGGCTGCCCAGAGCTCTGTGGGTTCCTGGAGGGCTGTCTCTGGGGTTATGCAGGAGGGAACAAACAGGTTCTTAGTACAGGTCTGCAGTGTGCAAATTCCTAAGACACTCCACACACCCACCCAGGCCTGTTGGTCCTGTCACCAACGTGTGTTTGTGGGGGAGCACCAAGGTCCTATCAGGTGACAGCTCCTGGGTAAAAGTAGGAAGGTAAGGAGAGAAGAGTTCTTTTTTTTTTATTTCCTAAACTCTGGCAGAGGCCCCTTTCCATACTGTCTGGAGCAGTATGCCCCAAGAAGGCAGGCCCAGGGACAAACTGGGCCTCCTGGTGGAGGGTGTGAGGAAGGGGCCGCTGAGAAAGAGAGCCATGAGCTCCTGTCTTGAGTCTTGACCATTCTCTGTCTCCTGCCCTCCTGGGATCCTGTGTGTCTACAGTAGAGGTGGCTTTTCTCCCCCCCCCCCCCCCCTTACCAACCTTCTTTGGTCCAGGCCAGCTACTGAGGCTCCATTTCTAATCCTGAACTGCATTTGTTGTCGCCTTGCCTACAACTTCAAGGAGCCTTGATAGGACAGTGGGTAAAGCAGTAAACTATTAACCAAAAGATTGGCAATTTGAACGCACCAGTTATTCTGTGGAAAAAAGAAGCATCAGTCTGCTCTTGCCAAGATTTACCATCTCAGCAATCCTATGAGGAAATTCTATTCTGCCCTACAGGGTCACTGTGAGTTGAAATTACTTCATGGCATTAAGTTTGAGTTCACGACTACAGATATTACAAATTCAGCCTGATTGTGACCAGGTCCTGATAGCAGCTTGAGCTTCTCCTCAGTCCCTGACCCCAGGGTTCAGTTCTGGGTAACCTCTTGTGCTGGGAGCTTGGAGATTTATGATTTATGATGGAAAATACTAAACCCAAACTATTATCCATCATTTATGATGGGAAATAATGTATATGCTTTGAAATAGAGATGAATACTAGATGGTAGAGTATTCTTTAACATTGGATTATCTGTGTCTTTTCTTTCTCGTGGGCTTACTTTCGCAGCCCTGCATGTCAGACTCATAGCTAAATATGATTTGATTTGAAAGGCAATATATTATTTTTATGTGCCATTGAGTCACTTGTGACTCATCGGGACCTTATGTACAACAGCTCTGAAACTTGCTCTACCTTGAGCCAACCTCATTATCTCTTACACACTTACCCTCATTATCCCAGTCACTGGCTCAATCCATCTCATCCAGGGCTTCCTCTCCTGTGCTGTTGTGCTGTCTCCTCCACCCTTCCAAGCATGATGTCCCTCTCCAAGGACTTGTCCCTCCTTGCAACATGCCCAAAGCGTGTTAGATGAAGCTTCAAAATCCTCGCCTCCAAAGAGCAACCTGGTTTCACCCTCTCCATGACGAATGAACCTGTTTGTTCTCCTACAGTCCATGAAAGGCAGTAAAATATTTTTTTTTAAATTATTTTTTGTGCATGTACCATCAAATCAGATCTGACCGGTACAGGAGGAAATTGTCCCTCCTTCTCTGGCAGAGCATCTGGTGGATTCGAACCGAATTTTGTTTTTTTTTTTAATAGATAGGGAAACGGAGTTCAGTGGATTATTTACTAGGGCTCCAGGATCAGCTGGTGGAGCTAATCTTTGGCACCATGATTGCCCCAAAGGACTCTGGGAACCTGGCATGTTAATGGTGCCACAATCCTGCCACACCCTGTTCCCCAATAAGCTTCTTTCTGTGCTGGATTTTAGGGCTATTGTCATTAGTAGATGTCGTTGAGTATGATTCATAGTGACCCTAAGAACAGCAGACCTGGACTCTGTCCTATTCTGTGCCATCCTGATCATCTCTGACACACTTGGGCTTATTGTTGCAATCACAGTGCCAGTTCATCTTACTGAGGATCTTCCGATCTTTCCCTGACTCTCCACCTTTCCAAGCACGATGTCCCTTTCCAAGGAATAGCCTCTCCTAGCAACGTGTCCAAAGTAAGAGAGGTGAAGCTTTGCCATCTTTGCATCCATGGAGCACTCTGGCTTTTTTTTTTTAAAGTTCTCTAAGAAAAAGTTCTTGGTACAAACACCTGCAAGCCCAGCAGATTTCTTACATTATGCCTCAGGACCAAAGAGTGGCCCCCTCAAGGCAACTGGGTTGGGAAGAAGGGGATACTGAGGCAGCTCACCTGTAAACCAATGGCCCTGTTAGGATGTCAAATAGGAAATGAGGTCCCAGACGACAGCTTCTTGTTGTGTACCATGCAGTCAGAACAGAATCACAACTGACCCTCCAACGGGTTTCCAGAGGCAGTTAATCAATCACACGGGAGGAGATTGCCCATCTTTCTCCTGCAGAGCAGTTGATGGATTCAAAGGTGTGCCTTTTGGTTGGCAGCACAACTCCTTACCACTAAGCCACCAGAGCTCCCTAGATAGCACTGTTTAGCACTGCCTCATCCACCAGAGCTCAGTCATTCTCCGGAACATTGATGGTACACACAGAGGGATCCATGAACTTGGATGAGAAAAAGAAAAAGCTTGTTATTTACTAGAACCTCAATCTGAGATTTAGTTTCCCTTTCAATTATTCTCAAACAACTCAGACTCATAACTAGCCATCCAGTGGTTTTCAGAGGCTATAGCTGCACAGGAGAGTGCCCATCTTCCTCTCTGGAGCAGCTGATAGATTTGAACCACCTGCCTTTTGGGTGGTAGTGAAGCTTCTTACCTACAGGCTACCAGAGCTCTCTTTTTGATGATTACTATCGTCTAGACCCTGTAAAACTATAAAATGTCTCTGACTCTCGCTGGGGAGCTCTGGCTGCTCATAATCTGTAGTGAGTTGCACTAGTAACCCAAAGGCCAGATGTCACTAGTGGTTTAAATCCACTGGTGGCTCCTCCTGTTAGGGTACCTGATGGAGGGTCATTATGAGTCAGAACTGACCTGATGACGAGTTTGAGTGCTGTGTTTTGCATTTATTTTTTAAAATGACTCTCACTAATGGAAATCACAGATACTGTCAAATCACCTTATGGTTGTTGCTGATATTTCAAAATATCATTTATGTTCATGATTAATTAAAAATTTTGGCAGTGATAAGATCAGCTTCTAGATCTTGATATCTAATGTGTTGATAAAAAAGCACAAATATTACTAAATCACACATTTTTACAAAATATGTTCCTAACTGTACTGCAATATAATTAGTCTCCTTTGTGATCTTAGGCGTTTTGTTTTATACACTTAATGACATTATTCCCAGAGAGGTAGATAGGCTTCAGAGGACTGTGAAAATATCCATGGCATAAAAGGATTAAGGCCTAATGGACAGAGAGCTGAGCTGACAACCCAAAGGTGGGCAGTTCAAATTCACCAGCAGCTCTGAGGGAGAAAGATGGACAATCTCCTCTCATGCCATTTACAGCCTCCAAAAACCTCCGAAACTCATAGGGTCAGCTATGAGTTGATTCCTATATGACAGCAATGAATAAATGAGAATGTGAATCTATAACTAATCCCAACCCACTGCTCTTGAGTTAAGTCTGACCCCTTGCCACCCTCCAGCAGGTTTCTGAGACTGGAAATCCTTATGGGAGGAGGTAGCCTATCTTTTTTTTTTTTTTCTTTCCTAGAGTGTGGCTAGTGGATTTGATCACTGTTGATTTTTTTTTGTTGTTGTTGTTAACAACCTAACACTATGCTACCCAGGCTTCTCTCTGATCTATACTGAATATAAATCATTTTGGACAGGATTTAGAGGATTCTTGAGAAAAGGACTTGACCTTTTTTGAGTTGAAGCTGTTATGAGGCTGTCTTGCCCTCATAAGCCACACCTGAGCAGGATAAGGAGTGGAGAGGAGCAAAGGCAGGTTTAGGTTGGAGCTCTCTGGAGGCATGAAATGATGTCAATCATTTCCCCCAACTCTTGTCTCCCTATGACCTGTGATCTCTGAAGGTTTCATAAGATAAGTTACTACCAGGGTGGGAAGCCTGGTTCATGGGGCTGGACCTGAGTTTGCAAGTTAAGAAGAACTGGAGTACCCATAGGAAACAGGGGCCAAAGTTGGGTGTTATCATTGGAATGTGAACCAGTGTCCTCTCTGGATGTCAGATAAAGGTGAAGAGGGAGGGTAGGATCATCATAGGTGAGGTGCAGAGACTAAATAAAATCTTAGGACGAGCAAAGAGCTGATGTTAGGCCCCGGGGAGTGAGGGCTCAGAATACTTGTGGTGTGTCAAATCCTTTGCTAGAGGCTGAAGATTCAGCCTGGGGACACACACATGACCACAGGGAGGAAGCCAGGTGGGATGAACTCTTGCGGTGGGTGTACTTTGTGACTTACTGACTTTGTGAACAAGAACATAACTAAGGCCTATGAGGACAGGAATTTTGTCTTGTTCGTTGAAATGATCCCTAACATCTAGCACAGCTCCTGGCACAGAATTCCTGGAGTTTGTACAAAGGGGGAGACCCAGGATCAGAGAGGAGAGCTATGCACATTCCAGTCCCAGGATACTTGGACTGGAACTTCAGGAGACTGGGTGTTCAAGACAGCAATTACACGATGACTGTCCTTCACTTCTAAGGTTGTCCTGATTTCAAATGGTAAATCTCCTATGTTGAGATTTCTAGTTTGGTTTAAAGAGTGTCTTAGCCATGTTTTTTGAAAGAGAGGGTCTTCTCTCTACTTTTCCGAGTATGATGATGTCTTTCAATAGGGACTGATAGCATGCCAAAAATATTTGAGATGAAATCACACTATCCTTTTTTGTAAGTAGCATTTTGGTTGCACTTTCTCTAAGACAGATTTGTTTATTCTTTTGACAGTCAGGTATATTTGATATTTTTCACCAACACCACAATTCAAAGATATTTAATATTCTTGGATCTTTCTTAGCTGTTATCCAAACTTCACATGCATATGTTGTTGTTGTTGTTGTTAGTTACTGCTGAGGCGAGTACGACTCATAGTGACCTTGTGCCATCCTCATAATTTCTGACACATTTAAACCCATTACTGCAGTCACTATGTCAATCTATCTCATCAAGGGAGTTCTTCTCTTTCTCTGACCTTCTACCTTTCAAGCATAATACACAAGGAATAGCCTCTCTTAGGACCATGTCCAAAGTATGTGAAATGAAGCTTTGTCATCCTTGTCTACAAGGAGGCTTCTGGCTGCATCTTCCCCAAAACATGTCTGTCTGTTCTTTGGGCAGTCCGTGTGATATTAAAACTCCAATACCACAGCTCAAAGGTATCATTTCTTTTTCTGTCTTCCTTACTCATTGCATCTTTCAGATGCATAGCAAGTGACTGAAAATCCTTGAATAAGATACACCTTAATCTTTAAACTGACATTATTGTTCGTCAATAATTTGGAGAGGTCCCTGACTACAAACTTTCCCAGTGTGATATGCCTCCTGATTTCCTGACTGCTACTACTAAGGCTATTGATTGATGGTCCAGCTAATATGAAATAATTAACAATTTCAATCTTTTCTCTGCCCATGAGTATATTGCTTGTTTGTCACTGGTGAGAATTTTATGCACATGCATATGAGGCAATTGAAAATATCATGGTTTGGATCAGGACCTCTTTAAAGTGCTAAAGAGCAAAGATGCCACTTTAAAGACCACCATGTGTCTGACTTAAGTAATGGTATTAGTTCTTTTTGCTCGCTTACTTTGCTGTTGTTGGAAGAGTCCAGGTGGAATATGGAGGGAGAGAAGTGAAGTATTCGTCTACTGTAAGATGAGAGGCTGCCTTTGTGTGTTTAGGCTGCTTCGTGTGGTTTGTATAGTGAGAGGAGTCATACTTATGCTCCAGACAAGTGCGTTTTGTTTGGCCTGTGGGGAACACAAAGGTTTATTGCAGAAGGAGGGAGGGAGAGGAGGTTGGGGGATATTGGAGTATGGAAGGGAGGGGCCTTATTCAGGCTGCAGGTATCCCAGGTGTGCCACTGAGATGCCTCTTTAGAGGGTGAAAAGCAAATCTTAGCTCCTCTGAAGTCTCCATTCCCTATCTGTTAGAGGTAGTGCTGGGCAGATGGAGATTTTGAGACTTAGAGGAATGAGAACGTCCTTAATCTGGTAATGGAAGGGAAGGGCTATGACTTCCAGGAAGTAATCCATGATCCAGGTCTGAGGTCAGCCTTGATCACATTCTTCTTGCTGTTTTCAAAGGGAGCGGAAGCCCTGGACTCCTTGGCCATGTCTTCCTGGGAGAGGCGGCTGCATCGGGCCAAGTGTGCCCCTGCTTGTAAGTGGATGTCTGTGTCTGCTGGGCTCCTCTGCTGCCCCTTTCCAGGCTGGCAACAGACTCCCCCTGGTGTCCTTTGTTCTTATGACCACTGCCTGTGACTTCCTTCTGTCTTCAGGAAGATAGTGCTTCCCTGTTTTGTCTATTTCCCCCTCTGCTTTACTCTGTGGCCTCTTTCCCCTGCTGTGGTCTTACCTTTTCCCCTGTCCTGTGTCTGTGGCGTCTCGTCGGATCCTGTCCAGTGTCTGAAGCACCTCTTTCCCCTTGTCCCACGTTCATATTCTCTCCTCTCACCCTGTTTTGTGTCTATTGCATCTCCTCTCTCCATGGCCTGTGTATCCTTGATCTCATCCCTCATTTCAGGGTCCCTCCCCTCACCTGTTCAGCTTTATCTTCTCATCCTCTCTTGCGTTTTCTCTACCATGTTCCAAACGGGAGGTCTCCTCTCCGTCCCATGCCTTAAATGTTGGCCCCTTCCTTTGAGCTTGTCCGTGGAGGACTCAGGAAGAACAGTTTATATGCATATATCCCTACAGCCCCCTGCTCCCCGTATTCCATGTCCTCAGTTCTGCCTGTCTTACCTTCAACCCAGTAATTCAGCATGGAGAGATGAGACCCTAGTGAACCCCAGCCCTTTGAAGGCTGCCTTGGGGCTGCTTGGTGAGTGTTAAAAGCAAGCAGTGTTAGACCAGCTTGCCTGCTAGAGAATGACAAGGGCTGTGTCAGAGGACTCCCCCAACCCAAGTATCTCCATTGAGGCTGATTGCTGAGGGCTTCCAGTGATGAGGAGTGGGGGTGTGGCCTGATTCCCCCTCCTGAGGGCAGTGGTGCATTAGTGGGTCCTGCCAACCTCAGCTCCAAGGGGAAGTTCCTTCTGTGTCTCCTTGGCAGACTTGTTCTCCTGCTTCAATGGGGGTGAGTGTGTGCACCCAGCCTTCTGCGACTGTAGACGCTTCAATGCTACTGGACCCCGCTGCCAGATGGGTAGGTTTGGGTTCTACCCTTCCCAGGGGAATGGATATGAGTATAGTGGCATCTGGTTGGCCTGAGACCTAGAGTTCGTGGGCTGGATGGGCTGTGGGTGACCCTGTGAAGGCTGGGACCACTCAGCCTCTGACTGGGTATCCACTTGGGCTACACAAAGAGGTTCTTTCTCCCCTGACTTAGTGTACAATGCCGGCCCTGAGCGAGACAGCATCTGTCGGGTGTGGGGGCAGCACCACGTGGAGACATTCGATGGCCTTTACTACTATCTCTCCGGGAAGGGCAGCTACACGCTGGTGGGGCGCCATGAACCTGAGGGCCAGAGCTTCTCAGTCCAGGTAAGACCTCCTGTACAGAACAACACCACTCAGCTGGATCCTAGGCCCCACTTGTTTGTGGGTTGGTCTCCTCTACCAGCCATCAAGTTCCCAGGGACAGGGACCATATCTTTTCATGTGATGTCCCAGAACCTGGATTAGTGTTCAGTAAACATCCATCTAATACATGAATACACACATGAATATGTCACATGAATATATGTGACATTCACTGTCAGGCAGACCAGATGTACGCACACCTCAACTCTGCAGGAAGACCAATGAGACCTGGTTCTGCTGGGCTATCCTTGTTTAGTACTGGGCCAAGGGACCAGGGATCTGAGGAGCTCCTAGTACTCAGTGTACCTCTATATTTGTGTCTTCAATCTCAGATATAATTCTGCCAAGAGGCTGCTCTAGGAGCTGCTATGTCCTCCACAGGCTAGGGACCATGACCAACATTCCCCTCTGCTTGGGGGTATCACACATCAGATTTCTCCCCCATTTCTGTGTCATTTCATGATGATTATATTGTAATTAATAATACTAATTAATATTAGTGGGTTATAAAATCAATTTAATGAGTTCTAGTCAATATCCAAAAAAGAAAAGAAAAAAAGAGAACAGGAACAATTATGAGAACAGAGATTGAGATTGTTAATAGCTTTAGTTTGCTTGGCTCTACAGTCAGCACTCTTGGTACCAGCAGCCAGGAAATTAAAAGACAAATTTCATTGGGAAAGTCTACTTGTCAGAGACTTCTCCAAAGTGCTGAAGAGCAATGATGTCAGTCTGGAGACTAAGGTTTGCCTGACACAGGCCATGATCTTTGCAATTAGTTGCTATGTGTCAGAGAGCTGGACAATGACTAGGAATGGAGAATTGACGCCTTTTGAGCTTTGGTGCTGGAGAAGAGTATTGAATATCCATACCATGGACTGCTAGGAGAAAAACAAGTTTGTCCTGGAGAGGGTGAAGCCAGGCTGCTCTTTGGAGGCAAGAATTCTGAAGCTTTATCTGACATACTTTGGACATGTTGCAAAGTGGAATCAGTCCTTGGAGAGAGACATCATGCTTGGGAGGGTGGAGGGACAGTGCAGGTAAGGAAAACCCTCTATAAGATGGATTGATTCAGTGACTGGGGTAATGGGGGTAAGGTGTGTTGGAGACAGTAAGATTGGCATGGGATAGAACAGGGTTTAGGGCTGTTGTACATAATACATTAATAGGAGTAATAATAGTTTCATAAAATTTCCATTTGATGTATTTATATATTTGTATATCTTATTGTTTATCATTGTAAAACAGCTTGAAAATACTTCATTTGACCATGAGGTAACATTCACATGTAACACTTTAGTTAAAGTAGCTCCAGTCTGCTTATCCACATTAAGCCATCATCTAAGGTTTGCTCTTGAGAAGAGTTTCCACACTTGTCATGGAGACATTTTCAAGTCTTTACGATTAATTCTTAAAAGTCCCCTATTGGGGTCCTGTGGCCTTGGAGGCATGGATTCTATCTGAACAGGGGATAGAAGTATGTGTGTCTCATGCAGGGTAAGTGCGTTGGGTACCTGTGTGTGGTAGGCTGCAGCAGTGGACTAGACGCTGTCCTACCAGGGACCTGCTACCAGGGACCTGCTACCAGGGACCTGCTAGGCATGGCGTACCTGTGTGCCCTGAGAGTATCTGTACTGTACATTTGTGCACATGTTCTGCATTAGTGAGAGATGGTGTTGAGAGACATCAAAGTTGGCACCTGAAAGTTGGACAATGTGGAGGGATGACGGACGAGAAGTCGATGCCTTTGAATTGTGGGATTGTTGAAGAGTGCTGAATATATGATGGATTGCCAAAAGAACTGACAGATTTGTTTGCCTTGGAAGTAGTGCAGCCAGGGCGCTCCTTAGGAGCAAGGATGGTGAAGCTTCATCTCGCGTGCTTTGGGGATGTTGTCAGGAGGGACCAACCCTTGGAGAGAGACACCGTGCTGGGAAACGTGGAGGGTCAGAGTAAGAGAGGAGACCTTCAACAAGACAGAGAGACACAGTAATGGCAGTAGTGAGCTTGAACTTCTCAGGTTGTGAGGATGGCGCAAGATAAGGCAAGCTTCAGATCTATTGTTCGGAGGGCTAGTATGAGTTACAGTCACAAAGAAAAGACTGCTAGAATTCCAGCCATTTAGAGCTGGGTGTGAATCCTCGCTGGGTGGTTTCTTAGCTGTATGTGACCTGAGGGAAATCTCTAAACCTCTCCTCTGAGCATCAGTTGTCTTCTGTTTAAAATGCACATAATCATGGCTCCAGCCTTTCTGTGGTGTTGTGGGGACTGGAAAAGATGACAGGAAAGGCCAGCCCTGGGGCAGGAACCCTGCAAATTGAACTCTGAACCCCCTCTCTCAGGTGCACAATGACCCTCAATGCAGCTCCTCCCCCTACACCTGCTCACGGTCTGTCAGCCTCTTCTTTGCCGGTGAACAAGAGATCCGCCTGGCCAAGGAAGTCACCCATGGAGGCCTGAGGTAACAACTCTTAACACCTTCCACCCTGACTTGAGCTGCTCCCTGGTCCTGGGAAGAAAATGTTTTCTGAGAGAAACAACAGAGTTTTCACCAGTAGGGCAGGAGTATGCTAGAAGGGTTGGCTGATCGTCTAGGGTTTGCAGAAGGTTAAGTCCCTACGGTTTTCTGGCACTCTCAGGTTCTGTGGATTTCCAGATGGTGATTTTTCAGGCAAATAACTGAGTTTTCCAGACAACTGAGAGTTTATCACCTCTTATTTGAGTCTATTCCTGTTATCCAAAACCAAACACTAAACTCACTACTGTTGAGCTTAGCTCTGATTCACAGGATTCAGATCTGCTTGGCTCTCTGAAGCCGTACATCCTAAGAAGAGACTGCCCTTGTTCTCCTGGTGAAGGTGCTGACTAATCTGAACCACTAGACATGTGCAGATTTTTGGTTAGTAGTGTAGCGTGCTGTAGAGTACACCACCAGAGCTCCTAATTGCCACTGTGTTGTTGTTGAGTACCACTGACTCAGATCCAACCCATAGCTGCCCCTCCAGTGGGTTTTCAGAGGCAGTAAATTGCATGGAAAGAGATTGCCCATCGTCCTCCCATAGAGCAGCTAGGAGGTTCAAACTGTGTGCCTTTGGACTAGCAGCACAATTCCTTACCACTAAGCCAATCCAAATTCTTGTTCATGATTTAATGAAAATCTTTTCAAAAGGATCATACCCAGACAGCTCCTGCCTTGCCAGAGCAAACACTTGAGTCCACTTTAATAATTTTCTGATGACTTGAGGTTATTTGGAACATCACTTACCCTCTAGGGCTTCATGAGAGGTGCCTTGAGGACCACTCAAGGAGTGAACACCAAATGCCTCTGGTTGGTCCTTTTTGAGATCTTTCTCCCATTTCTTTCCCACTGTCCTCTCCATCCTTTACTGCCCATGGCCACTTCACTTTGCTGTTAAAGCAAGAGAGGCTTTTACCCTTTTCTCATTTCTTACTTCCAATCTGGAAACTGTGTAGCCAAGCTTTTTAGGGCTAAGTGTCAAACTAAAGGCACAAGGGTTTCCCTTGTGAATGAAAGGTTGATATGGGTCAGTGAAAGAGGAGAAGACCCTCAATGAGATGGGTTGACACAGTTACTGCAGCAAGGAGCTCAAGTGTGTCAGAGGTGCTGAGGATGGAACAGGACAGGACAGGGTTCAAATCTGTAGTTCATAGGGTCGCCATGAGTTAGTTGTACTCAACTCAACAGACAGCAAGCACTTAACAGCACAACAAATAGTATTGCTCTTAGCTGCTAACAGAGAGGTAGGAGGTTCAAGTCTACCCAGAGAAACTTTGAAAGAAAAGTCTGGCAATCTCCTTCAGAAAAATTAGCCAATAAACCCCCTGTGGAGCACAGTACTAGCCTCACACACAGAGTCCCCATATGTTAGAATTAACTCAGCAGCACAATTTGGTTTGGGTTTTTATGTGCATCTTTTTTATACCAATTTTAACTGCTTAGAAACTAACTTCTTTTGCTTTCCTGTCTTGATTTTCAGCTCAGTTAAAAGTTGACAAATTCCAGAAAGGCCAGGGGTCCCTGGACCTGTGAGAAGATGATCATGGGTCCTATAGCTCTGCATTTTTCCCCTCCCCTAGTTGATTCCCCCTGTCTTGGCTTTCTCTTTCCACGCCATTCATTTTCTCCACCAAAAATATAAACAAAGTAGCCGTCTGCTTATATCATGCCTTCTGTCTGGGAGAAAAGAAGCTGACAAATTTAGTCATGCTAAGGTTTCTCCCTCAGGGGAGTTCAAATTTTAAAAAATTCTTTAGAAGGGAAATGAGTAAAAAAAAATAAAGAAAGAAAGAAAGGGAAATGAGTGTTCTTTCTGATGGCCGATTATAAGCACCTGAGAAGCCAAGGGGAGAGGTATGGGGTCTCAGACTATGAGATACCTGTAGCCATGTGATGAGCAGACCCTGCGACCCCCTAGGTACTGGACAGTAGGCCCTGTGATGAAGGGACCAGGTTGGTGAGGGTGGTGTGGGCACCCTGGAGCTCTGGGTCCCGTGTGCAGGCTCCAGCTGCCACATGTGATGGGGAGCATGCGTCTGCAGCAGCTTGCTGGCTACGTCATCGTGCGGCATCAGGAGGCCTTCACCCTGGCCTGGGACGGCGTCTCAGCTGTCTACATCAAGATGAACCCCGAGTTCCTGGGCTGGACCCATGGACTCTGTGGAAACAACAATGCTGACCCTCAGGATGACCTGGTGACCAGTTATGGTAAGGCCCAGGGCACTTCTCCTCTGACAGGTGTGGGTCTAGACGGCAGGTTGGACTAGGTGTGGGACTTGGGGTAGGGCCCTGGGATTATGGTACTAACAACTAGTGGGGAGTCCAGGAGCCCTTTCCTCAGTTGTATTCCTAACTATTCTGGACCCCAATTTCCTCCTCTGTAAATGATGGCCCACTGACAAGAAGTTATGCCTTAATCTCAAAGTCAAACAGTTCAAATTCATCAGCTGCTGCAGGAGAAAGATGGACACTCCTCCTGTGTGATTTACTGCCTCTGAAAACCCTCTGAGGGTCAGCACACACCCTCACCCTTACCCCCACCCTGTAGGGCTGTGAAAGGATCTCACGAGGCTGTGAATGGGAGAGTCTCTGTAAATGGCAAAGTTCCATTTATCACCACATGACCTTAGGAAGGTTACTACTTCCTCTACACCTTTCCTTCCCTGTAAGGCACCTGCTGTCAAGGACCTCTCCAAAGTACTAAGGTGCAATGATGTCAGTCTAAAGACCAAGGTGTATCTGATTCGTCATGATCTTTTTAATCACTTGCTATGTATCTGGAAGCTGGGCAGTGAATAAGGATGACAGAAGAAGAATCAATGCCTTTAGTTGAGATGTTGGAAAAGAGTACTGAATATCCCATGGAGCACTAGCAGAATGAACAGCAATGTCTTGGAGAAAGTGCAGCCAGAATCACCTTTGAGGCAAGGATGGTGAAGTTTTGTCTCACATACTTTGGACATGTTGTTAGGAGAGATTATTTCTTAGAAAGGGACATTATGGTGTGGAAGATGGAGAGTCAGCAAAAGAGAGGAAGACCCTCAGTGAGATGGACTGACTTATTATGTCTGCAGCAATGGGTTCAAGTGTGTCAGAAATGATGAGATGGCACAGGATAGGACAGGGTTCAAACCCAATATTCATAGGGTCACTGTGAGTAATACTCGACTTAAGCAGCAACAACAACAGCAACAGCAATTTCTTGGTGTTGTGTGGACTGAGTGAGGTCACATAGGTAGACAATCTAGTAGGTTGAGGATAAGTGGGTCCCACAGGGCTTCTATGAGTTGTTGTAAATTATTTATTCATTCCCTACTTTGAGGAGAATTTTGGCATCAGGATTGGTGGAAGATCTATTAACAATCTGTGTTATGCAGATGACACAACCCTGCTTGCTGAAACCAAGGAGGACCTCATGCACTTGCTGCAGAGGGTCAAGGACTGCAGCCTTCAGTATGGACTGAGGCTCAATGTCAAGAAGACAAAGATTCTCACCACTGGACCAATTGGAAGCATCAGGATGGATGGCGAAGAGATTGAGATTGTTCACAGCTTCAGTTTGCTCGGCTCCATGGTCAACACTCTTGGCACCAGCAGCCAGGAAATAAAAAAATGTGTTGCATTGGGAAAGTCTGCTGTTAATGACCTCTCTAAAGTACTCAGGAGCAACGGTGTCTCTCTGGAGACTAAGGTGTGCTTGATACAGGCCATGGTCTTTGCAATCACTTGTTATGCATCAGAGAGTTGGACAATGACTAGGGAGGACAGAAGGAGAATTGATGCCTTTAAGCTGTGGTGCTGGAGAAGAGTATTGAATGTACCACGGACTGCCAAGAAAACAAACAGATTCATCCTGGAGAGGGTTAGACCAGGCTACTCCTTGGAGGCAAGGATTCTGGGGCTTTGTCTGACATACTTTGGGCATGTTGCAAGGAGGGACAGGTCCTTGGAGAGGGACATCATGCTTGGGAGGGTGGAGGGACGGCGCAAGAGGGGAAGACCCTCTATGAGATGAATTGATTCAGTGACTAGGGTAATCAGGATGGGTGTGTCAGAGGCAGCGCGATTGGCACAGGATAGAGCAGGGTTTAGGGCTGTTGTACATAGGGTCGCTATGAGTCGCAAACGACTTGACGGCACATAACAACAACAACAACTTTGACCTGTCCTCAAGACTCAGTTATTTATGTTTATTTATTATACCAACAAATATTCATAGAGCCCTAACTTTTTCTGGGCACGTAGATGCTTGGATGGTTGGGATTAGCCCTGCAAGGGGGGTGTGTAGTGTGTGTGTGTGTGTGTGTGTGTGTGTGTGTGTGTGTGTGTGTGTGTGTGTGTTGGCGGACATAGGACCAGTGAGGAAGGGCTGAGCTGGAGTTGAAGATACAGGTAAGAAGTCAAATGGCTCAGTCATTTGGTATCTCTGACCAGAGGAGGAATGACACTTTGAACACCCACGACGTAGTAAGTGCTTTACAGACATGAATCACCTCATGCAGTCTTTGAATTAACCTCATGGGGGCATTCTTTCCTTATATCCAAGTGGGAAGCATGCTCAGCCTGGTACAAGAATTTGTTGGGGTTCACCTGTTAATTTTCTCTGGGTTGCCGGAGGCTGCCTTCTCAGAGATGGAGCTTGGAGCAATAGGGAGTTACTATACTGGTTCTTGTCTTCTAAGTTTTTTCAGTTACTTGCTAGGCCTCTAGAAGTTTGACAGTAAGGAGGAATAACAGAAGAAGAATTGATGTATTTGAATTGGGCATTGAAAAAAGGTAGAGAATATCTCATGGACTGCCAAAAGAGCGAACAAGTCTGTCTTAGAGGAAGTGTAACCAGGGTGCTCCCTAGAGGCAGGGATGGTGCAGCTTCATCTCACATACTTTGGGCGTGTTGTCGGGAGGGGTTAGTCCTTGGAAAAAAACATCATTCTGGGAAACATGGACGTCCAGAGAAAGAGGACTCCCAACAAGACAGATTGGCTCAATGACTGCAAATATGGGCTTGAATGTACTGAGATCGTGAGCATGGTAGAGGACGGACAAGGTTCAGATCTGTTTTCCATAGGGTCGCTGTGAGTCCTGCTTGACCCCATGGCACTGAAGAACAGCAACAAAACCAATAGTGGTTATTGTGTATTCTTGAGTATTATATCCAAAAAGCTGTTTTTCTAGTCCGATGTGTAGATCAGAATGGGTGCACTGCAGACTAGATTCTTCAGCTCCTTGCATGCCTCTTGACATCTCTCCAGCTCCACTCCCTTCCTTTGGAGCCCTCTTTCCCTCAGATACCCCCCACTAAATCCCATGATTATCCCGATTCTCTTCTACAGGGAAGCTGACAGATGATGTGTCTGAGTTTGTGCACAGCTGGCAGGAAGCAGCTCCCAACCAGCCTCTAGGGCCCTTGACTTCCTCCCCGCCCCGCCCACCATGCCTGCAGCAGAGCCCTGGAGCCATGCAGGTCTGGTCCGTGTGTGTGTGTGTGTGTGTGTGTGTGTGTGTGTGTGTGTTGTCATTTCCTTCTCTTCACCCAACATTACCTGGCTTTAGCTTCCTATCCAACTCCTGAGAAGTCCCTGGCTACAGCGACCTGGGTTGCTGGATGCTCATGGCTTCTTCCTTCTTCCTGTCCTCTTTTTGTCTCCCTGGTGGGAATTCTGGGTGGGATTGACTGAGAAAACTGAGGGACCATCCATGGCCTTGCTAGTCCCCACCTGTAGCTCCTGGTCTTCACTCAGGTTGTGTACGAGCGGTGTGAGGCACTGCTGCGACCCCCCTTCGATGCCTGCCATGCCTACGTCAGCCCTCTGCCCTTCACAGCCAGCTGCACCAGCGATCTCTGCCAGTGAGTGAACAGCCATAAGCTGGGGAGGTAGTGGGCTGTGGGAAGGTATCCCTCTGTTATTGGGATGATGGCTCAGGATATGGTATACTTACTTCCCCAAACCTGACATTTATATCTCTAGGAATGGGATGGAGCTTCCAGTCCATTGGGGCCCAGTGATGAGGCCTGACCCATGCAACTGATTAGAATCAGGCCTCCTGCCTCTGGTTGAGGATTCTGTACACTTAAATGCTTTCCCAGCACCCTTTCTCAACTGTAGAAATGAGGGGTGTTCCAAAGCCCTTTAAGTCTCTCGTGGATTGCAGGGCAAGGAGAATGCAGGTGGAAGGTTGGACCTTGTTCCAGCGCGATCTTTGGTTCCCTCCACCCCCTACAGGTCAGTGGGTGATGAAGCCACCTGGTGTCGGGCCCTGGCAGAGTATGCTCGGGCATGTGCCCAGGCAGGGCGGGCCCTGCTGAGCTGGAGGACGCTGCTCCCACAATGTGGTAGGCACAACTTGGTGGTGGGCACTGAGGGGCCTAAACAAGCTCAGTAGCCTTTCTTACTCAGAACCACTCTTATGAGAGCTTCAACTTTGAGGTCCCATCTTCATGTGACAGCTGGAGAAACTGAGGCTCAGTGGGAGAGGGACTGATCTTGGGCCAGAGAGTGGGGTGAGGGTTAGGGTGCTCAGAGCCTCACAGACCTGATTTCACTGGCACTAGAGGATCAGAGAGCTCTGGTAGCTTAGTGGTAAGGAATTGTGCTGCCAGTTCAAAGGTATGCAGTTTGAATCTGCCAGCTGACCCACGGGGAAAAGATGCACAAGCCCCTCCTGTGTGATTTACTGCCTCTGAAAACCCCCTGGACAGTCAGCTATGGGTCGGTTCTGACTCAACAGCCCACAACAGAGGACCGGGGAGAGCTCTGGTGGCATAGTCTTTGGCAAGTTGCACTACTCACCCAAGGACTGTGTGTCTCTGGTGGTTCAAATCCACTCTGAGGGAGAAAGACGGACAGTCTCCTCCTAGTGCAATTACAGCCTCGGAAACCTGATGGAGGGTTGCTGTGAGTCAGAACCAACAATCAGGAAAATCAGTACCTTTCCACAGCTGACTCAGGGCTTAGGGTAGGGGCTGGGTCCTGACAGAGCTGAAACAGTAACAGCTGAGAGACCATGGTGTCCCCCACCTCCCTCCCAAGCTGTGCACTGCAAAGAGGAGGCCTTCACCTACAACGAGTGCATCACTTGCTGCCCTGCGTCCTGCCAGCCCCGGGCGTCCTGCGTGGACAGTGAGATCGCCTGTGTGGATGGCTGCTACTGCCCTGACGGTATGCTGGGGTACGAGGGGTGCCTTCAGGGTTGTGTGTGAAATGGGCTCAGAGATGCCTGTGAAAGGAAGGAGGAAACGACATGATAAATGATAGGGGTGGCATTGCAGCCTTTTGAGAGATTCATCAGGGCTTTATGAGGTGTACGGATGAGGACAAGTCCTTTGCTCATTTACACACACATGCACTTGTTTCAGCATTCTTGTGTGGGCAGTTACTTCCTTTACTTCTCACATAATCCACCCTGGCTGTACACCTGTGGTATGTAGCTCCCTTGATGCCCCTTGGTGGGCAGTGTGGTGGGGATGGAATAATGTAAAGACCCAGTCCCTGAGTTTAGAATCAGAGTCTGATTGCAGTGTTAAGACATTTAGAGGTGACACTAGGCTGGGACACAGTGCAGGAAGGTCCTGTTCGAGGACTCAGATGAGAAGAGATACAAGAGAGGAAAAGGGTGTTCAGAGAAGGCTTCCTGGAGGAGGTGGTGCCTAAGCTGAGCCTAGATACCTGACAGCTTCTAGATACAGTCTAAATACAATACAGATACATGAGAGGTGGAGAGAAGACATTCAACGCACAGATGGGAGAGATTCTCTGAGTAGAGATTTAGAAGGAGGATTATTTGCTCAGGGGGTGTTCACAGGGCGGTGAGCAGACAGGTCTGGTTGGAGCCCAGTTTTTATATGTTTGGGCTTGAATGAGGTTTTGGGTATTTTCCCCCCCAATAGCAACGCTTTCAGAATCAGAGTTTATTAGAATTTAAAAACAATGCTCAAGATGCTTAAAACAGAAGACCCAAGGCCACAGATACAGGTTCAGGATACAATTATTGCTAAGTGTTGGAGTTGAGTCTCTCACAACTGTGCTGGGTGCCCACACCTCTCCTTTCTATTGCTCCTCTTTGCCTTATGACTCTCCAAGAGTTCTGGTTCAGCCCATACTGGATTTTCACTCCACTGAGATCAACACAAAAGGAAGCGCAAAACTATCATTGTTACTACAGCCAAAGAACTCAGGAAATCAGAGGCACCGTACGTAATGATGGAGATTCCCAGAGCTCCAACCCATAACCTTGTGCAGATAACCACATACATTTCAGAGCGAGCCATGAGGAGGTACTCTGTGTGCCACCTTTGTTGACGGGCTTCCATATTAGGAGCTTCAGCTTGGATGTCTTGAAGCATCATGTTTTGCTAGTGTAAGAGGCAACTTTTTAGGAAAACATTAAAGTTTGTATCAAAACCTTTTTCCCAGAACAGACAGACCTTGGAGGTGAAACACCTGTGATGAAAGGTTTGGAATGAAGTTTTTATTACAGGCCATGGGGAGCCATGGAGAGGTGGTGAGGAGGCGTAGAGACAAGTTGAGTGGATGTTTTCTGTCACCTTAGGGCTGATCTTCGAGGATGGGGCCTGTGTGGCACCAGCCGAATGTCCCTGTGAGTTCCATGGGACCCTGTACCCAACGGGCTCTGTGGTGAAGGAAGACTGCAATGCCTGGTCTGTGCTCACTCCTGGGCGGGAGGGGGAGGGCTGTGGGATTCCTGTCAGGACTGCTCTGGAAGTCCTGAGAATGTAGGGACGAGGGTTCGAAATTTCTGAGTTCCAAGGGCATCAGAGTTTGTATAGGGGTAATCTTCGAGCCACCATTTTAGAGATGGAGAGGTTGAGGGCTGGGACCAGGAGCTCTCTGGGCCTGCAATCCCATCTCCCAAGCAAAGCCTACAGCAGACATGGACAGCTTGACTGAGGAGCCGTGTCAGGACTAGGAAGCCTGGGCCCAGGCCTGGGCAGGGTGACCCACCGGCCTCCTTGCCCTCTATGTTTCAGCACCTGCACTGCAGGCAAGTGGGTGTGCAGCACGGCCGTCTGCCCAGGTACGTCTGCCCACTTTGCACTGTGCTCCACAGCCTCTAGTCGCACAGCGTTTGGAGCAGGGGAGCTCTGGGGACTAGGCCTGCATGGGAGGGGTGGTGGTCACTCATTCCCTTGGCAAGGCTTCCTGCCATGTAACACTGAGTCGGACCGGCTCACAGCCGGCCCTCCAGCGGGTTTTCAGAGACAGTTATCACGCAGGAGATTGGCCATTTTTCTTCCACAGACCAAATGGGGGGCTCAAAAGGCATGCTTTTGGGTTGGTGGCCCAACTCCTTACCACTAAGCTGCCAGAGCTGGCCCCTTTCTTTCCTCAGCCATTGCCTGCTTGTGTAAGGACTTACTCCAGCCCTTGTCTGGGAAAGGCTTACCTGAGGCCCCACATATCTAGTGACCTTCCTCATCTTAGGGATGGAGGCCAGTTCTCAGTCTCAGAGGCTGGTCTCTCCTCAGATGGAGAGCCCCAAGGCAGGGCTGTGCCTCTGCCTCCCTTCCTCTTGGCCTCGGGGGTCAAGGCCTGCCACCCCTCTGACTGGACTCTTGAAGTGGGGGCTGAGTCTCCTTTCACAGCCTTGGATCCTGAGGACGCAGTGCTGTCTCAGCTTCCTGCTTGGAGCTCCTTTGGGTCAGTGGCCTTTCTCTGTCCTTCAGCCGAATGCTCAGTGACTGGTGATATCCACTTCACAACCTTTGATGGCCGCCGCTACACATTCCCTGCCACGTGCCAATACATCTTGGCCAAGAGCCGCTCTTCTGGCACCTTCACGGTGACATTGCAGAATGCCCCATGTGGACTGGTAAGACCTGGGGGAACCCCCAGACCCCATCCATCCATCCATCCATCCATCCATCCATCCATCCATCCATCCATCCCTGCCTTACACTGTCCAACAAGTCCTGGAGCAGGGCACCAGGTCTTTCCATAGCCCACTCACCCTGCTGTTTCTCCTTTCTGGGCAGACGGAGACTTCTGTCTCCAGCACCTCTGCTGGTTGTGAGTCATTGCTGCTTTCTGAGTTTTACTTGCTTTAAAATTGCTAAAATGGGTTTAATCCAACTTCTTGCATGCAGGCATGTATTGAAATTCATCAGTTCCTAAATGCTGAACACCTATTTGTGCCAGACGCTACTAGGTATTAGTGAATTAGATGAGTTTGTCAAGGCTCTGTCCCCTAGAAATTTATGGTTTGGCAGGTGAGCCTGACAAGTGAACCCACAGCCCACTGTGTTAGCAGAAGCTGAGACAGCTTGCAGGTTGTAGGGTGGATCCCTGTGGAGGAACTTTTAATTGTTTTAGTCAGAGGGTGTATCTCAAAGTCCTGCCTAAAATAATTGCTGCCTGATTCTTCTAAACTTCTAAGCTTCATCCTAAACTACTCTGCCTGGTGGGTTCTGGTCTCTCTGGACTTCTTGTGTCTCCTTGAATGCATTAAATACCTTCCTGTGTCAGAGTTTTTGTACAACTATAGTAGAAATGGACTCAATGTGCAGTACTCATTTTGGAGAGGGATTAAACTGAGGCCTACAGATATTAGCTCTTTCTCTTTTTTTTCCTATTGGGGGAGACTAGCTTGATATACTGTGTGCTTTGATATTTGGAAAGAGGTTTCTAAACACTTGCAAAAGAATGAAGTAGAAATTCCAGCTTAGAGTGTGGGAAGCTGTTTCTCTGGTCTCGGATCCTTCTCTGCTCTGTATTTAGATAACTTGAGAGCTGATTATAATTATTATGATGATTATTCCAGTTCTGTCACTAACCCTGTCCAGTCTGAGCCCAGTCATTTCTTAGTAGAAAGCTATGACACCAAATGAGCCTGGTGTTATTTGGGCTCTGTCACTCTGAGAAACCTTTTCTGGTTGCAAAACAGGAGAGACTCTGCCCTCGGAGGTCAGACAGACTAACTGCCTCATTGACCTTTATTTCTCTCCAGAACCAGGATGGGGCGTGTGTCCAGTCAGTCTCCGTGATTCTGCACCAGGATCCTCGGAGGCAGGTGACTCTGACCCAGGCGGGGGATGTCCTCCTGTTTGACCAGTACAAGGTTACTCCGCCCTACACAGATGGTATGGCTTACAGTAGACAAGAGCGCTAGCTGCTCAAGGGTTTTCTCCCAGGACCCTCTGGTCAAAGGCATAGCAACCGCATAGGCAAGACCTGGCATTGAGTGATTGGGTGGCTCAGGTCAGGAGGCTCCTTGGCCCGAGCAACGTGAACTAAGGTGTGGCCTGTCCCCACCCTGCACATAACTGAGTGTCAGGAGTATTACGGCTTCTCTTTATATCACCACATGAGAAAGGCTACTGCCATCTTGACCCTCAGTATTTATGAATCCCTTATCATCCTGCCTGATTCCACAAAGTCCAAGGAGCCGCACATCCAACCCAAATGGCAAAACTATTAAGAAATAAAAACCTAGCATCAAAGAGAACTTTTTAAACAAGGTAGGTTACAGATCTGGAGAAGTGGAGATACATGGCATATAAAAAGGCCATAGGCTATACAATTAGCTATACCTCTATAATTGTATCTAAGTGATAAATTTTCTATGATTGGATTTAATATATGTATTACGATTTTCCTGGTGGTCATTGTGAGAAGAATACAGAATTCTCATTTGCTCCAGTTCTTTAGGGAGAGCAAGGGACAGTAAGGGAGCTCTTGTGGGGTAGCCCTTAGAAAGTTGCATTGTTAACTCAAAAGTGGTGTTTCTGGCTTTTTGAAGCTGCCAGAAGCTGGAGGAGAAAGGTGCGCTCAGTCTCTTACAGGTGACTTCCAACCTCAGAAAATCCATAGGAGGCTCAGGGGTGAATTGGTCCAAATCGAAGGCAATGAGCTAATAGTTTTGGCAAGAGCAAAGTTAATTGGAATTTGATTCTAGAACAAATATGTCTGCTGGAGTTGCAAATACAGGTTATCACTGGACCTTAATTTTCTCACTAGACATGATTTCCCAAGGCTCGCCATGAGAGGCCTTCAGAGTGTGAGGACAGGGCTAGATATGGGGATAATGTGTGAAGGGGGTGGGTATTGATGAGCTGGATGTTTGGACGGTCCTTCTTCGATCCCATTTCTGGTTGTGTGCTCACAGATGCCTTCGAGATCCGGAGGCTGTCCTCGGTGTTCCTGCGTGTAAGGACCAACGTGGGCGTGCGGGTACTCTATGATCGAGAAGGACTGCGGCTCTACCTGCAGGTGGACCAGCGATGGGTGGAGGACACCGTGGGTCTCTGTGGCACCTTCAATGGCAACACGCAAGACGACTTCCTGTACGTGACCCTCCATGGAAGCAGAAGTGGGAAGGGTACACAGGCTTGTAGGGCCAAGTATCCAGACTTAAAATAACAAGTCAGACCTATTTAGTTGAGTCATACTGAGCTATGTGACATGATATAACTGTTCCATGGTTGTTTCCAAGCCTGAAAATCTTTCTCGAAGCAGACTGCCCATCTTTCTTTCACAGAATCACTGGTGAATTTGAATTACTGACTCTTTGGTTAGTGGCTAAGCTAGTAACCACTACTCCACCAGCACACTTTCAACACCCAGAAGCATTGGTACACCTTTGCCTATGAGCTGTTACTGCCCCTGACTTGCTCGCTTAGTGACTGGTTTGTGTACATTTAAATTTAAGATCGCATCACAACAGTGATTTACAGTCTTCTATGAGGAAGAATCACCCAGGGAGCTTGTTAAAATCTGATACCTAGACCCCACCTCTGATCTAAGTTAGGGTGGAACCTAGGAATCTCATTTTAGATAAACACCATTGAGATTCAGGTGTCTGAGATCTTAGGAACATTCTTCAATGAGATCTTAAAAAAAAATGGAAGGACCTCAGACAGAGGTGGATTTGGCTCATAGTTTTGTTTTTTGTTTGTAACCATTAGTTGACTGTGAATACTTTCACACAAGTATAAGCTCCAAAAGCCAAAGGCATTGCCATACTGCTTTCCACACCACCAAGCTGGCCCAACCTATGTACTTTTCCTGCTTGGTGCCTGAAGACTTTTGAGTTTGTACCTTGAAACTCCCAATAATCACGGAAAGAGCTCCCACCTTCTCCTTTGAGAATGAACACAGCTTAGGAACTTGGGGGACAGGAACAGACCTCCCAGGGAGGACAACAGGTGGTTGATCTTAAAGGTTAAAAGCTCTGGCCAGTTTTTCAAATTCTGTTCATGCAGTGCAGAACATGGGAGGCTTTCTTCAGCCAGAAATGAAAAAAAAAACCAATAAAAAGCTGGCTGCTTTTCCATGCACATACCTTTAAAACCCATAGTATTCTATCCTCTCTTACCTTTTAAACCCATAGTATTCTATCCTCTCTTTCCTGGTGGGGCTGACATTAGGCTGGTTGGTCAGATGATGGGGCAGATCCCCGGTTAGTGGGTTGCTCGCTGTTCTTCTGCGTGTGAACTCTGGTGAGATGTCCCTCTACGTGGCACACGTGCTCTCCCTGCCCTGGGTCAGTGATGTGGGCATGTGGGTGCAGGTATATGCAGGATCTGTGGGCTCTATCTATCTGTGTATCCTCACCTGGGTTTGGTGATTCTTGGAGACTGGTAACATCTTTTCTTTTCTGTGGTTACCGTGTCTCATGTGATCATCTCCTTCCTAGAGAGAAAGACTTAGAGGAAATGAGTTTGCAGTTTTTCCTATTTCTTCCTTTTTGACATGAAGAGCTGGGGTGGGGTGGGGGTAGGTAGTGAAAGAAGGGACAGTGGTGGTCCCGGGCCCATTTTGAGCCCTTTCAAAGTTTTTAAAATGTGCTACATGTCTTCCTGTGTGTACACACCCCCATAATGACATATGTTTGAGTGTGGCTGTCTAGACTCGGCTATTTACATGCATGACATATACTGTGCTTTGTGTGAGTCTGATGAGGCTGCGTGCAAACGATGTGCCTACATGTGCTGCACATCTAAATGGGCACACAAGGCCCTCTTTCTGTGAGTGTGCATGCTTCATCTATGTGTTTATAGAAGCAGGTGGGTGCTTGTCTGCGAATATCTATATGCTCACCTGGATCCACATGAACAGAGGAGTGAATTTAGCTATGCTGTGGCTTCAGGTCCCCGGTGGGTGTGCCTGAGAGCACACCCCAGCTCTTCGGCAATTCTTGGAAAACACTGTCAGCCTGCTCCCCACTGGCTCTTGGCTCTCCACTGGACCCATGCGACGTGCACCTGCAAGCTGGTGAGGCACCGCATGTGGGGTGGGATGGGACTGGTTTGAGGGAGAAGGAGGTGGAGACTCGGTCTTGAGGAGCATTGTAGTAGATAGAATTCCTACTTGAATGGGTGCAAAAGACTGGAATAGGAGGAGTTCAGGTAGGAGATGGGAAAGTGAGGAGTGGGTGCTTGGTGAACACAAGCTTCTTGACCTACCTCTGTCATGTGCGCACGTATTCACATGCACCCACATCTCCAGGTAAAAGCCAAAGTCTGGCCCACGAGCTCTGCAATGTCTGCCTTCACCTCCCTGGCCTCATCTCCTACTCTCCCTTCACTCTGCCCCAGCCTCTCTGGCCTCCTGGCTGTTCTTTCTACACAGCCAGGCCTGCTCTTGTCTGTTGGCTTTTGCATTTGCTCTTAAGTCTACCTGCAATGTTCTCCCTTCATAAATAGAGATATTCACACATCCTCATCTCTTCCAAGTTTCTGCTCATGGATCAGCTTCCCACTGAGGCCTTCCTGACCACCTGATTTAGAATGGCATCAGTTCACCCTACCTCGTGCTTCTTGTCCTGCATCCTCACTTGCTCTCCCCTTAGACTCTTTACCTCCTGCTTTTCTGTCATTCCTGTCATTTCAGGACTGGTTTCTAGAATGTAATCTCCACCAAGGCAGGACATTTTGTCCCTTTTCTCCATTCCTGTATCATCTTCCAATTGCACCTGGCATGGTGTAAAATACATTTTATGAATCCTTATTTATGTTTATATGCACCGGTGTGCACATAACATACACACCCTCCTTCACGGGTGCTTATTCTGTGTTCACAGACAATCTTGTATTCACACCTGAACTTGCTACATATGCCCACAATGATGCCCATTCCCAACCAGCCTCACACTCGGATCTGCCCACATTTTGCTGTACACACAGTTATGCACATGTACACTCCCTTGTACACTATTTCCTGGGTTGTCAAGAGAGGGGGAGAAGCTGAGACCAGGGGCACCATGCAGCCTGCCCCTGACTGCACCCCCTTCTGCCTGCAGCCTCCTATGCGGTGCAGTCCTGCAGCGTGCTGACTGGGGAGCTGTTTGCACCCTGCTCCACCTACCTGAGCCCCGTGGCCTATTTTGAGCAGTGCCGCCGGGACACCTGCCGCTGTGGGCAGCCCTGCCTGTGCGCTGCGCTGGCCCACTACGCCCGCCTGTGCCAGCGCCATGGTCTCCCTGTTGACTTCCGCACCCATATGCCAGCCTGTGGTGAGTGTCCCGTGGTTGTGTGCCAGGTGAAGGCAGCCTGGAAGCAGCAGGTGCGCCACCACCCACCTGAGCTGCTCCAGGCTGCCTGAGTGCCTGCCTGCCCCCTCAACTCTGCACCAGGACACTTATAGACACCGCCACCTTGGGTCTTTTTACCACCTGTTTCTCCTCTTGTGCTCCCCAGCTCTGCCAGAGGCCCGCAGTTCTGTGTCACTTGGCCTGGTACCTGAGAGCTTCCCCATGAATATCTCCTTTTTACCTGCACCTCCAACCCACCTCCAAGTCTTATCAATCCCAACTTTACCCTCTTCTCACTTTCACTGCCACTGCACTAGTCAGAGCCATTGCCATTCAAACAACCTACAGTTTCTTTAACCCAAACACCAAAATATCACCTTTCTCTTTTGAAATTATCGAACAATATCATTGATATTACATGCAAGCAAGATTCTGCTGAAAATTATCCAAAAAAGTTTGGAACAATATGTCACAGAGAACTGCCAGATGTGCAGGCTGGATTTAGAAGAGGTTGCGGTTGTTGTTGTTGTTGTTGTTGTTGTTGTTGTT